ACCCTAAAATTTTGTGATTTTTTGTGTCACCCTATAGCTTGAAGAAGAGGTTTTTTCGGGGTTAAAATGTTAACATAAGTTTCAATCTTTGTGAGATCTTCAACTTTGCTGAAGAATCTTTTTGAAAATTCCCAGTCGTTAAGGAGTTATAGTCCCCGAAAAAAATCAAAATTCAAACTTTGAAGCCCCTTGGGGAGCCCGTCTGTAAAAAGGGGAACGTAAAATTATGGTTTTGGGGGTTTTGCGGGATGGCCCATCGACCGCGCAATTGCATTTGAAAATCGGCGTCTGACATGATTGTATGTTTACTGGTCAGCAATCATTGATTTCGAATTCGTTAAATTTATTGAAATGCAATAAAACCTTTTTTCGTTGCTTATAATGTGTCGCTCTCATTTAATGTATATCCGTATATATTAAAAAAGCAACAATCCATGCAATGCGAGGTACGATGTACGATGTGGTGATAAATAAATTATTTTTCACACCTTTCACTACTTTGAGCGTATTCTGATAGGTTTATTTTTATGATTGGTAAATTGCTGATTTTTTTTTTCAAATCGTGGTCCACTGAATACGTCAACAGTTGAGGGGGAAAGTGTGTATGAAATGGTTTTTTATCATTCATCCGTCAGCATTTAACACTTGATTAAAATCAATAAAAATTAATTGAAAATTGATTAAATGGAAACAAACTGACACCGAACACAAAAAAATGTTCGCAGTTTTTTTATAATTGACAAACAATGTCTCCGCTTGAAAATTTGGACAGAAAAAAGAATCTGGCGAGCGCTATGCAAGACAGTTTCGGAAGAAGTGACAAACGCATCCAAGGATAATGCCAATAATTGAATGCCTTCTTAATACTCATGTAAAGTGCATATCGATTTCATCTGATACTACGGTTTCGTTTTCAGGGTAAAATAAGAACTTCAACTGATGCGAATGTATGTACGTATATTTTTAATTTAAATTTAGATGTTAAACTAACATAAAAACAAAGTCGAATTCGCGCATTCTTTAGCGCTTCGATTTCTTTTTTAAATGTTTCAATAACAACGCCACACAAAAATCTGTAAAACTTCGTAATTTTCCGCCAGAAAAGTTGTGAAAATGCCCATATACGAGATATTGTTGAGCTTTCAACAAAATAGACTTCAAATGAGGGCCTGAGAGTGAAAGTGACCAACAAAAAGTTGAGCGTAAAAGTGGCCTAACTCCATACAGAACACATGCTACCGTTACGCTTTTTTGTATGGAGTTAGGGCGCATTAACGCTCACCTTTTTGTTGGACACTTTCACTCTCAGGCCCTCAAATAATTATTTACCAAGCTGCAAAAATTTCATCGAATGTCGGCCTGTCAATCTGTCGATTTGTATGAAGTTCGTGTTGTATACGAGAACCATAAATCTAAATTTAAATACGTCAGACTTTACTCATGCGACCAGAAAATCAGGCATTTGCGTTGTTTATGGATAAAACCACTCAAAAGTATGGCATTTCTCTCTCCTGTGTTAACAATACGCGTTTGATTATTTGAATGGAACAAGCAGTGCATAAACGGTTCCATGTAAAATTCCTTATCCGCTTTTAATGAGGATAAACGAGAATTTCAATGCGGTTCATTAATCGATTCATATATTTTCGCTTGTATTGTGCAAACTATGAGGTGACGAGTACCGTTTTGCTTGATTAGGACGGAATTTGATCGACAATCGAAGCGACACAAATCGGTGCGAGGTAAATTGTGCTGAAATAATTATTTTTTCTCAGATGCAAACAACATAAAACCCATTTAATTATAAATTTCTATTTTAAAAAATTGGAAACTTTTCTCAATCATGCGGCGGTGCTTTGAAATTTAAAATCAATTGTACTTTAAGCACCAAGGAATTGACCAAATTCAACTCTGAATATTATTGGCCTGCGCCGTCAACTAAACCATCATCTTCGTTGTGTGAAAGTAATTCACTCGGTTGAAACAACCAAAACTTGTGCATTGATAACTTTGCCTTTTTCACAAAACGCTTCATCAAACCATCTATTAAATGTTTATAAGCCGAGTGAAAATAAAACATTCCAATAATAGTTTCTGCAATGCTTCATTAAATGTAACTCACAAGTTTTTTTTTTCTTCGCACACTGTCGATCGTATGCAAACCCATCGCAACTGATTTACCATTTAACAATAATTGTTATCAGTATTGCGTTGTGACGCATTACCATTGCAATGTAATGAAATTATGCACGATTATTATCGGCAATAATAATTTCATAGTTGATTGCAGCGTGTATTTATATGGATATTTTTCCGGTGCTCGATGGGCCGGTAATCAACAGCAGCCTAATAGAACGATTAATGCGGAAGCATGCAAGTGTGTAATGCGTTATAATGTGTAAAATGCGTGGTTACATCCACAATGGAGAGAAAATGCCTGTGCCTTTGAAATGACGAACGACGGAATGGGTATTTTATCAGTGTGTAAATTGTTTTATTGTTAAAGGAAAAATGAGCAAAACAGAACTCGTGCCATTATGATTATTATTTTATGCGCACAAGGGAATGCATCACGTTCGCATAAATCTCCCATTACGAGACAAATGTCACACAGCCAAAATGAAAAATTCACACACACAGATAACATATTCGGTAATTTCTATCTCATTTTGGGAAAATATGGTAGTTTTTCATAAACTGCACACTCGTTATTACACACGCACAACTACGAACTATTTCCCCATTTTGAACGATGGTAAATGTTCAGTAGTTGTGGTAATAGTAATATAGGATTTTTATAAAATTCACATATTTTCCCGTAATGAGGAGAATTTTTACTGAATATTTTATGTGTGTGCGTTGCTAAGTAAATACAGCACTGCGGCGTTTGATGATCGTACCAAGGGTGGAAAACCGTAAATTTCAATTTTATCTGTTGTTCTCTTCATTTATGTGTATTTGTGTGTGCGCGCTCTTCTTGAGATGCGTTCCGCAATTTCAGTTATTAAAAACTTGTTAGTAACATTTGTTTCAGCGGTTTTCGGGAAAATGCGAAGGAGTTCTCTTCGATACCTGGACAATGAAGGGGTGGCGTCACATGCGTAGATCGTTCAAAAATCGAAATATTTAATTTTCATGATAAACGATAATTATGGACAATATGCGCATATGTATGCGAACGCATTCCACACATTCAGTTTCTTTTCATATCCGACACGATTTTTTCTTGACTCTTTCACCGCCTGTGATTAATGTGTTGCCATTAGAGTCACAATGTACAATTTAAATGCGAAACTGCAAACGGTAATTGGATTCTCATCTGTTCGCTTTATTTTATTGCTAAGACAATGGCTGAAATGACGCTGCGATATGGAAAAAGAGAGCATGCTCAAGAAATTCATTCGTTTTGTTGAAGGACGCCAAATTCATGGTGTAGAGTCAGAAAATTGTCCATGTTTTAAGTAAGTGCGGCGATTGCGGCCAACGAATGACTTCGGTTAACAAGAGTGCGGGCCAAAATGCAAAAATAAAATTATCATTAATAAATTAAAATATAGCCTATTTATGAGAGGCTATAAAAATCCGTGGTAAAAAAAGCAAAGTATATCAGATAGAACGAGGGGGAGCATATACACGACCAACACGATTTTTTTTTAATGACAATGAAAATGATACTTTCGTTTTATTTC